GCAGGTAACTGTTTTAATTACGGGTCGAAATGCTGGAAGGACTTCACGAGGGCGCTGAATCGAAGCACAGAGACGAGCTTCTCCACAGCTACCGAGAGGACGTTGCGGGAGCGAGCTGTAAAAGTGGTTACGAAACACCGCTCTGATTCAAACTGGCGGCGTCGCCAGTCCGGGAATGCTGAAGAGAGGGACGAAAAGCTGCAGTTGATGGAAGAAGCCGCCTCGATTTACGTAAATCGCCAGCTACAGTCAGATTCCAAGAGTCGCAAGGAAGGGTTAGATCGGGCAAAGGGCGCTGCATGCCGTGAGCTGGCCATGTCGGTCCTGTCCGAGAAGCGATCCATCTCTGACCTTTCAACTGATGATCACAAGGAGCTCGACCCAGATATGAAGAAGCCCAAACCTTCACCAGTGCAGCCGAAGAAATCACCAAAAGAAACGAGCACCACAGCGTTGCTGTCCTATTTCAGGGAAAAAGACGAGGCTGACCGGCAAGGCAAGACAGTGGCCCTGGAATTGGAAAAGGACAAGGTGACGTTGGAGAGGGAGAAGTGGGAGACAGAAAAGCAGCGAGAGGAACAAAGACATGCCCAACAGCAGCAGCAGCAAGTTATCGACAATGAAAGAGAAGCCAAAAAATTGGACCTGGAAGCCAAGAAGCTTGCTGCTGAGGATGAGGAACGAAGCCATCGCCATCGACTGGAGAATGAACGCTTCCAGAGAGAGCAGCAGCGCGGCGATCAACAGATGGAGATGATGATGAGCCTTGTGAAACACGTTTTGCCGAAAAACAATTGATTCACTGATAGCTGCACAGAAGCTGGACATGTGATCGAAATGTGCCTTTTTGAAGAGTGTATCTTCTTTGTAGTGTGCCTTGATTTTAGCCGACAACCCATTGACTTCAGTGCGAAATCGAAATGATTGAAATGTGCAGTAACTGGTCGCAAGAATATGCTTTCCATAGATCATTAGTATGTAGCAATTCGTTTCCACTCTCTTCGCCGTATATTGGCACCGCGCCATACTCTGCCTGTCGCAGATACAGGTAGCTACTGAAGTTCAAGTGTATTACCAGTACTGATGTGCGTGGAATGTCTTGTGCGTTGCACCATGCTTTACCCTGAATGCATGATATCACTCACATTTTGTTTTGTTTGTTCACAAGTGAAAGCAAGGCAGCTTTCCCCCAGCCTCGTAATCCTCTCCCTGGTGATTATTGCTTGGTACAAGACCGTGCTGTGCCGCAACAGCAACAACGTGTAGTCAAAGTTTAGTTATAATGTAATATCAAGGTTTTACGCATGGTGAATTTCTGCTGCGAAAACAAAAGGCTTCTGTGGAAGGTGTAGCATTGAAACAGTGGAGCATTTTCAAGTGCACAATTGATGAGAAGATACATGAACATCCAAATAGGCTAGGATAACAAGACAAATATTACTACCGGGCTACAGTACTTTCATCAATGCTCACTCCGAAAGCGATAATTTATGAGCAAAGGGATTGATGGGTTCATGCGACACTATTCATGACAAGAGGTTATAATTATGTCTGCAAAGCTTTAGTGAAATAAAAAAATTGATCACTAGTAGTGCACACAGTGAGGGTCAGTGTGCCAGCAATGACGTACAGTCCAGCAACCACTGCGCCATTGTATGCTGCTGGACAACATATTATCTAAGCCAGCTGTCGGTTATCGCAAGTATTCGTTCAATGCAGGAGGCTGACATTGAAAATAGTCTGAGATTTCATTCCGACCATTTAAACAGGTTCGGCAATTGATGAGGAGGACAGCCACAGTGTAATAAGCACCTATTGGCTGCAAATAAAGCTTCAAATTTTTCTTAAAATCAATAAAAGCAAATGCTCTTTGAACCTCACCGAAACCCCACTCCACGGACATGCGAAGCTTGCTCACAGCAGTGTTGAACAATGCTTCCTGATGATTAGGGTTGTGGTAGGGCCGTAGAAGCTGTTCCTTCAATGGGTAGGCTTGGTCACCATAGATCTGGTAAACCTGGCCAGGAGCGGGAATTGGCAGCCTGTCTTGCATGTACCGTAACAAATCACTGTGCAGAAGCACAGCTGCGTCATGACGCGATCCGGGCATTGGACCAAACATGTGGGCAAATATGCCATTGGCTGCGACAACTGCCTGGAACTTGATGCCATGCGATCTCTTGTGTCCGCTGTAGTAGACACGCTGGTCTTCTTGTGGCTTGCAACACTCTCGTAGTGTACCGTCAATAAATCCCCACAAATTCACTATGCCAGGAGGGAGACCAGCCTTCTCGTTCACAGCTTCCACACAAGATCTAAGGATATCAGGTGTGAACCATGGCTGGTTGGCAAAGTCATCAAGAAGATGTCTCCACCGCCGGTATACAAAGAGGCACACGCAGTTAGAGATAATGGAGAGTGTGCTGCTAGGGCGACCGAAGAAATGTTCCAGGTCACAGAGACGATTTGGGTAGCACAATCGGCGGAGCAAAACACATAAGCCTTCTATACCGCTCCATCTACTTCTGTTCGGTCCCTTCATCACGTCAGGCAGTTGCAGTGCATCGCACAAGTCTAAAAGCTGCTCCTTGGTAAACCTAAAGCTATCTTTGCATTCCGCACTGGTCAAGCTGTTTAGATCTAGACGGTCGCCGTAGGATTTGCTATCGTCTTCTAGTTCATAATCCTCTTCGAGAGCAGCAAATATCATAAGCATTCTTGTCTCATCGATTATTCCTTCAAAGTATGCCATGAACACGGCATGTATAGAATCAGCGTCCATACCGAAAGAGGCAAAGGCGGACAGGTACCGGTATGTGCAAAGACCAAGACAGACAACGGCTCAGATCATGTCAGGGCGGCTGGACATGTGCTTCTTGCACGAAATATTTTATCAGTCAATCATTATAGAGCAAAATAAGAGCACGCGTGTGGATCATTACGGACAAAAGTAACACGTTAGGTCATAACCCCCAGGCCAGGGGTTATGAACTTATGAACTCTTGTTACGGATCATTTGCATCTTGGTGCGCTCAAAACTGAAGAATTTCGAGTAACTCGATCAGCGCGTTGGGTGTGCGGTGGGTGTGCACGTTCACCATGTTCACCTGCTGCGAAAGCTCTTTTCAAGTGCGTCACGCACGTGAATAGCCTCGCGTTCGGCCTTGTCACGTTGCACGCCGTGCGAAAACTCTCTAGTGGGGCAGGTGCACACGTCATGACGTATATATACGTCGACAGTGGTGAAAGGGTTAATGACTCATTATCATTGTGCAAGGCTTTGTAGACACGATCCTAGTGTGATCAGGTGATGTACATGTAGTGGCTACTCTGTGCTCACTGATCCATACACATGGGACATGCACCATGTCACATGTGCACTGCTTGGCCTAATATGGGTAAACTGATGATGCTTACCACTTACTGCACTGAGCTGTATATCATGGTACTATATTGCGCCTTGCGCAGCTTGGCTAGGATTTTGGCAGGTGGCACCAGACAGAACGCACGCGCAACGGACGGATACGCCGGGATAGTCACCGCGCGGCCTATCCGTGCGTCCGTACATCTGACGAGACCAGCATGCAATTCACCGATCATCAGGTCCAGCACCAGGGTACAGGGACTGGGTACTGCGTGCACTGGTTCACTCCTAATCGCGATGTTCTTGTACTGCAGCCATGCCCTCTCTCAGTCTCATTCTCCTGCCCGTTACTGCGTTGCCCCCCCCCCCCCCCGTTGCAACGAGATACGTGACCGAATCAGACGTAGCAGCTCGCCTTGCAAAGCGCGTTGGCCACCACTGAGTCCTAGACACCGGCGGATTATGCCGGTGTACTATAGTAGAATGACCCCCCAGCAGATGGACCCCCGGGCATTGTACTAATAGAGTGACCCCGGGGTCACTCTACTATAGTACAATGCCCGGGGGGGTCGTTCTACTACATGTAAATCAAGAGTAGATAAACAAGAGTGTGCAACTCGCGGATGGGTTGGCCCACGGCGGAATTTTTTGTTGACGTAATCTTTTCGACGACGCACGCACTGCGAGCCTTTTGGAGAGGTTTCCCTCGTGCACTTGGCCGGGCCTTACACTACAAGGTCGGTGCCCAGCACGTGCTCTCACACTGCTCTGCGGCAAAGTCCGCGTTTCTGAAAAAAAGGTGACGTCAACAAAAAATTCCGCCGTGGGCGGGGGTATCTGCAGATTGTGCAGGAGAGATCCGGAGTTGCACACTCTTGTTTATCTACTCTTGGTATAATAGATTGCCCCCTGTCATTCTACTACAGAGTCCACCAGACTTGTCGTTTCGCACGTGCAGGTAGAAAGGGATGGAGTTTACACCACAGATTCCACGTGGACATTATGGATTGTGGCAAGAGTCCGGGGTTATGTACTCTTGATTGTGGGAATACCGTAGAATCCCGCGGATAAGCCCATGGGCTTATCTGTTTCACAAGGACATTTCGGTGGGCTTATACGAGAACATGGGCTTATACGCGGGCATGGGCTTATACGCCGACACCAAGTAAGTTGTGCTATTGAAAAGTATCAAGGAAGTGTGAAGTACATTGCTGAAAACCACTGTGCAAACAAAAACAACCGATGATTGTGCTGAAATGTACGAAAAAAAGCTATAATGTGCATGTACTACATACATGGTACCGGTGTGGCTACCTAGGTACCTGGCTGCACGCTGTGACGTCATCACCTGGATCTGGGTGATGCGCGCTCAAATTCGCACATGTTCGATTGGGCGTATCTGACGAACCATAAGCCGCAGCCTCCTCGGACAAAGACCATTCGACTCAGCGACTCGAACTCTAGATCTACGGACTGTGAAATTTATTTCTCCAGACTCAGTAACCATGGTAACGATCGCGCGAGAGCGCTAGCGCACGGGGCCGCGAGGGCGCACACGTACATGGTCATGTGCACGCGGACCGAACAATGGGACGCGCTAAAACTAGTAAACGCAAAACCGTTGTTCGCGAAATTTCTCGCTTTCTCACTACCATGGAAGCAGCCATTGCGCAACGACACTCACCAGCACGCAGATCGTGATCTCTTTTTGATGCCATTGCGGGAGAGAAACTTGTCTTTTGTACACGTGGCTGAGTGCAGGGCAGCTGTTCTTTGGACGTGGCTTCAGGTAAGTTCGATAACATTGTTGTGTTGTGGTTGCACTGCGTGGCAAACCATATTGCAGTAGTCATTAGTGGCGACTTGTTCATCTTGAGTAGGTCGTGCTGCTTTTCCTGGAGCAAATGATGAAATTGTCATGTGTTTTCAGACTGCAATTATCATGCATGTATTGTGTTAGCATTGATGGTCGGACTGTATGAGAATTTCGAATTGGTCGAGTGTGGAAGATACATGTGCAGAAGACCTTATCGCGTGAATGGAAGGGACCTTGATTCTCGTATTGGCCTATAACACGCTGTGGCATTCTTTGGTTACAATAATAAATATTTGCTGTTCGCGAACATTCCGAAACAATTTTTGTAGTATGTTGCACCATCCAAGAATTATTGTTGTGGCTTTCGACTTCCAGTCCGGGACATTTCTACCCACGATCCTCTTATACATGTAATCAGACCTGCTCGGTTATCCTGGACACATGCATTTTTTTAAATAATTGTGGTGCAACAGTTGAATTTCACAAAGGTAGTCATTGTCACTTTCTTATCTACTTGCACTGTTACTTGGAGAGCGGCACGTGCATTGCGCATTGTGCACAATACCTAACATTGTAGTACACGCGGGCATGCACGTGAACACAATAGCAGGCCCACAGTCCCTACACGTGTGCACAATCCAGCAAGAGATTATTAGTCCTGAATTTGCATACAACACCTTTCTCTCTGCAATTTTTGCAACTGTGGACAATCCCAATGCCAAATATTTTGTTGATTGATATACATGAGCAAACAGGCAGCAATTGCTGGTGTGCTGTGAGTACGTAAATAGTATTACCATCTAGGATTAGTAGATCCAAGGAAGAGTGGTTCATGTGTGAGATGAACAATTCCACACAGATTTTTGGATTTCCCCAACGACCAGCGTAATTCTTAAAAAACACAAACATGCGTTGCTCAGTAGTAGACATGTAGTGGTGAGGCAACACTGTCTTTCATCTACAGTCGTTCAAAGATTGGCTTTGCTGCTTCTCGTGTGGAACAAGCACTGCTGGTCTTCGTCAGACAGCTTCAAGCACACCAACAATGATGCAGGTTACGTTTCGAATCAGATTGTGTGCAAAATAATAGGCTGCTGTATTTTAGATACTAGTATCTCTGACATTTTGGACTGTACTTGTTGGGTGCATGTACAGGTATGAGTCTTCTCCGCTCATCTGCCCGCATTGCGCGGCAAATCCCCAATGCTCGCGCTGCGGTCATCACCCAGCAGCGATATGCCTCCAAGTCGGTTGAATTCGGCAAGAAAGCCCGCCAGGAGATGCTGGAGGGTCTTGACACACTGGCTCGTGCTGTAACCGCCACCCTGGGACCCAAGGTACGCGCTGGTTTCTGCTATTTTTTGCCAAGTGTCAATGGATACACACCCTATGCCATGTGTCCCTGGATGTGGGTTATTCTTGAATGACTCTTCCGCAATAGTACCTAGAAGGTCCCATTGTGGCTCATCTGCGGTTTATTAGCAAAGGAATTGGTAAAGAGTTAGGTGCTGGCTTACAGTTTGTACAAGCCATTGTTGTTGTTTGTGTGTGGTGTGTGTGTGTATGTATTGTGTCGGGTTTGTTTTTATTTTATTTTAGGGTCGTTCCGTCATCATTGAGCAGAGCTGGGGTGCTCCCAAGATCACCAAGGACGGTGTAACTGTAGCCAAGTCTGTTGTCAACCTGCCCAACAAGCTGCAGAACGTCGGTGCCAACTTGCTCCTTCAGGTAAGGTGATGGTTCCTCGGTGATGCCGGTATTGTGCTGACGGTTGTGTTGCATTCTTGCAGTCCCCATTGTCCTGTGTGTGTCTAGGTGTGTAGGTGTGTGAGTGACTAGTGTCTTGTGTTTGTCTGTGTATTTATTGGCTTGATTTGTAATGTATTCGAAGAGAGCACAATAATACTTCCCAAGAATTCTCGTTCGTGCTTCTCTAAAAGCATATCCTCGAATTTGGTGGGACTATGTTTTCGCTGGAGCACTACAGTAACTGCGGGATTGCTTATTGGTGATAGTCACTCATTACTTCTGTTGGTCTATCACCTCGTCACCAATCCTACATTCACTCGTGTTCACTGTTCAGTTGAGAATTGTTACTGTGGGTGTCTTTGGTCTTCGTGAGGAGCCCAGTTTTTATTCCAGCTTGCCTTGTCTATCTTTCTGTTGATGTGTGTTTCTCCGGCATGCTAGGTTGCCAATAACACCAACGACGAGGCCGGTGATGGTACCACCACTGCCACCGTCCTTGCCCACAAGATTGCCACCAGTGGTCTTATCGCCATTGAGAGCCAGAAGGTCAACCCCTATGAAGTGCGCAAGGGTGAGGAACTGGTGGTAGTGTTTTTGTGCTGCTTCTTCTTCTGCTGCTGCTGCTGTGGTATTGTTTACTATATGCCACCAGCAGTGGTGGCACAGTGACACCATAGATGGATGGTGGCACATAGAGAATCCATGCACATATACTAGTGATGCAAGGAATATTCGAGTACTGTAATTTCACAAATTTTCGGTGTACTTTTATTTTCGGTACTTTCGGTGAATCTGTTTCACACCTAAATTTTCAATACACCGAACAAACACTAACACACATAATCCAATAGGGGACTGCTTCTCTGTACCGAAAATTTCTGTTCACCTAATCAGGGCTTTTGCCCTCATACCGAAAATATTGAGCACCGAAAATTTCTGAATTTAGAGTATTCTAGAAAACCGACACCAGAAAAAAATATTCGAATGCAGGCAACAACATTCGATATTCGAAAATTCGAAAAATTTCCATTTTTTGGTTGTGTTATTTATCTCCAACCTTGATCTCCTGAGTAGTGTTGACTGTGACAGTCTTCTCGTGTATGTACCTCTAGCTACGAGTGTAGCGGTGGTGTATGTGCTGTGCTCATTAAGTGTTATTTGTAGTGATACCAGCATCCATTATCATGTGCTTAGTGCCTTCTGCCCTTATCCCGTCCGTCCAGGTATGCAGAAGGCAGTTGATACCGCTCTGGAGCACCTGAAGACCGTCAAGCGTGAGGTCAACTCCCACGAGGAGGTCATCCAGGTCGCCACCATCTCCGCCAACAATGACCACGCCACTGGATCCCTGATTGCTGATGCCGTGCGCCGTGTTGGCAAGAACGGTGTCATCACTGTCAAGGATGGAAAGACCCTGGACGATGAGCTCGAGGTCACCGAGGGCATGAAGTTCGACCGTGGATTCATCTCCCCGTACTTCTGCAACAAGGGTAAGCGTTGGTGTGTACTCGGCCTTGACGTGGACATGTGTGTTTTATTGGTGGTGAGTGGGGGGGGGGGGGAGTGGTGGTGTTCTAAAGGTGTTTTCTCTTCTTGTGTGACTTTCTCACTGAGTTATCATTCTGCGCCCCTGGCTGGGTGCCTATGTGCTGTCAAATGACGTATTGTGTGCATGTATGTGTGTGTGCTGCAGCCAACAAGGTTGAGTACCAGGATGCCTTGGTTCTCATCTCTGAGAAGAAGATCAGCAACATCCAGGCCATCATCCCTGCATTGGAGCTGGCTGCCCAGCGCCACCGCCCCCTGGTCATCCTGGCTGAGGACATCGACGGAGAAGCTCTTACCACCATTGTCTTGAACAGGTAACAATGCTGACTGCTCTACAAGTTGAAGGCATACTGTAGTGTTGCCTTCGGTTCTGTTTGACTTCTTCACATTGCTTTGTGCACAGTGAAACTTATTCGCGCTTCAATAGTACTGTAAAGTAGAAATATTCGTCTGGAATTTAATTTCGTCTTTTTCGTCCAAGGAGCTTTTGGACTAAATTAAATGCCGGACTAATGTCGATTTGGCCAGCTTTTCAACACACTCTTATGATCCATGGACGAAATTTTCAACCGGGCGAACTCCCTTTCTTTGGAGTTGGACGAAATTATTAACCGACGAAATGTTCTGCCTGTACAGTAGTAGAACGTACATAATTGATATGCCTGTGCTTCTCTAAAAGCATACCCTCATTTGGTTGGACTATGTTTTCGCTGGAGCACTACAGTAACTTGACTCGGGGATTACCTGCTACTGGTGACAGTTCCTCATTGCGTCTGTTGATCTATCACCTCGTCACCGACTCTACAGTTACACAGTTTGCAACGGACTGATTGCAATTGTTTGTTGAGCCTGGGTGGCTAGTTCTTAGTTGGCCAGCTGGTCTAATCGAATTGCGGATTTGTTCTCATTGCTTGTGATTATCTGCAGGCTGAAGAGCGGCCTCCCCGTTGTTGCCATCAAGGCCCCAGGCTTCGGCGACAACCGCAAGCACACTCTTCAGGACATCGCCGTCTCTCTTGGCGCCAAGGTCAGTCACTTGGCAGTGTGCTACAGCAATGCCGATTAGGTTTTTCGCCCTTTTCTATTCTCATCTATCAGCCTCGCCATTGTACTTGTCCAGTGGTTTTCAGTCGTGGTCTTCCAGGCTTAAGATGTGTGTGTGTGTACGTGTTCGACGTATGGAGCTTTTGGATGCAGTTGGGTATGTTTACCAGGTCCTTGTACATAACACTGAATTTTCGTTAAACTTTGGAGATTGCACCATTTTTTTTCTGTGTGTGAGGGGGGGGGGTATGAGCTACTTAGTAAAGGACGTAGACTGACAATCAACTGTGAGATGACTGCCTAATGAGTACTTGCACTGGTGTTGCTCTTTGGCCGCTCTTACGCATGCTGAGTAGAACGTACATAATTGTTATGCCTGTGCTTCTCTAAAAGCATACCCTCATTTGGTTGGACTATGTTTTCGCTGGAGCACTACAGTAACTTGACTCGGGGATGACTTGCTACTGGTGACAGTTCCCCATTGCTTCTGTTGATCTATCACCTCGTCACCGACTCTACATTTACACACTCACCCTCTGTTAAGGCAGATAAGTGACCTCCCTCCATGTAGCCATGTACTGTTGGTGGTGTCATCATGGCCACTGAAGGAAATGGTGTTTCTTGTGGTAATTCTTGTTTGTTTCTGCTTGTTCCGCCTTTGCTACAGGTCTTTGGAGACGAGGCCATGAACTACAATGTCGCTGATGTCAAGCTTGAGGATCTCGGTCATGCCGGAGAGGTCGTCGTCACCAAGGAGGACTCCCTTCTCTTGCACGGTAAGGGAGAGGCAGATGCCATCTCTGCCCGCGTCAAGCAGATCCAGGCCGAAATTGACGAGACAAACAGCAACTACGAGAAGGAGAAGCTGCAGGAGCGTCTTGCCCGTCTTGCTGATGGTGTTGCCGTGATCAAGGTTAGTGGGCTATGTTGGTGTTAGCATCACGGATAAGTACACGCATTTACTAGTATGTCGTTGGGGGGGGGGGGGGGGGGGATGACCTAATTTTTAAAAACACACAGACTGGCAACTAACTGTGAGATGACTGCCTAATACTAAAGTGAGTACTTGCACTGGATTTGTTCTTAGGTCGCTCTTATGAGTAGAACGTACATAATTGTTGCCTGTGCTTCTCTAAAAGCATACCCTCATTTGGTTGGACTATGTTTTCGCTGGAGCACTACAGTAACTTGACTCGGGGATTACCTGCTACTGGTGACATTTCCTCATTGCTTCTGTTGATCTATCACCTCGTCACCGACTCTACAATTACACACTCACCGTCCGTTGGGGAGATGATATCTAATACCTTTATGTGTGTGTGTGTAGGTGTACTGCATGTTCCATTCTCTCTTCTAGTAGTTAGTATACAGCACATTCATTGTTTTGCAAAAATTGAGCGGAAATTGCTCCACTGTAAATGAATTGCGCCATATACAGCGAAGCATAATTATGACTAATATTCACTAGGCCGCACCAAGTGAGAATGTTTGGCTTGTGTGCTGAATGGAGCAAGCACTCACACCATAGGGGACAGGACCAGGAGGTTTGTTCTAGAAATATGTGAACTTGATACGAGTACACCTTGATCTGCCTTTGTGTGAATTTCAGATTTAAATAGCGAACTTTGGTCGTGGCTCATCGACTGTTGTTGATTGTTCTCTTGTTGTTCAGATCGGTGGCAGCTCTGAGGTTGAGGTTGGTGAGAAGAAGGACCGTGTCAATGATGCGCTGAACGCCACCCGTGCTGCTTTGGAGGAGGGTATTGTGCCCGGTGGTGGTACTGCTCTGCTGCGATGCGCTGCCCCAGTGCGCGAGCTGCTCAAGAACGACACCCTGAGCCACAGCGAGGCCGTCGGTGTCCAGATCGTCAGCGAAGCCCTGTCGCAGCCGTGCCGCATGATCGTCAACAACGCCGGCCTCGACGGCGATGCCATCTGCGAGAGCATCCTGAAGGAGGGCCCGACACGTGGCTTCAATGCCCTGAATGGAGAGATGACCGATATGCTGCAGAGCGGTATCATCGACCCCACCAAGGTCGTGCGCACCGCCCTCGTGGATGCTGTCGGCGTCGCATCGCTGCTCACCACATCCGAGGTGGTCATCACCGAAATGCCCGAGCCCAAGCCCGCAGCACCAGAGGGTGGCGGTGGTATGGGAGGCATGGGAGGAATGGGCGGTATGGGTGGAATGGGTGGTTTCTAACTCTACCCTCTATCTCTCTCTCTCTCCTTCTAGTCCTGCTCGTCCTGCTGCCAATGCTGCCTCTGCTACTGTGTGTACAAAATTTACATTTTAGTTTGTGTTTTTTACTTTCCATACAACACAATGGCAACAAACTAACAAAACAAGGTCATTGTTGAGTTGGATGCATGTGGTGGGTGATGGATGGCAGCTCAGATCCAGCAGTGCCCCGTGAGTAGGAGATCTACAGTGCGTTAGTGGTCCCCTTTATGTTCCGGCACCATTTGTGCTGCGGAAATTCTGCTGCAATGTGCATGAAAGAGGACATTTTGGCTACTGGTAATTGTTCTGGTTTATAAAGTGGGACGACTGTGTATGGACATCGCTACAAAGTCCATTTACTGTGATCACAGGTGGCAAAGCTGGTAAATGTATTATGCACATCTGGATAGGTTACGGTAGAGACTCGCGCACTTGTACATGTATGTCGTTTCCAAGAGCTGTAGCCGAGTTGTTATAAGCAATGCAGGTAGATATGTATTGCAAAAGCTGCGAGAATACTCCACATTCTTCAGCGTGTGGTTCCACTGTTAGTGTAATACTAGTAGTAGGCAGAGTAAATAACCGCCCACCTGGGAACCTATTTATAATGCACATGTACACGCAGTAGTCCTGTCACTCGAGGAGTCGTATAAACCCTGGTCATAATATTATAGTACAATCATGTACATTCTCTCTTCGTCATTGCTGCTCAACTAAGTCCTAGACCTACCAACACTGGGCCTAGGGTGCAAGGTGCTAGCCAGGGAGTCCACTCCACTCCCTGGTGCCACCATATGAGATCAAAAGGAAGACTGTGCATCCTACACAGTCACGATAAAAAGTATGCAACAGCTTGTAATAAGTTCCAGCAAGAGTGCATTATCATAACTTATGTACTAGTACTGTTCGTTCCTGGGCTGATGGAGCTTGTGTTGTTGGGTTTTTTCGCCAGTCGCATGCAATGAAAATGAACAAACCTGCTTGCCTCAGTTGTTGAATCAGTAAATTTTTAGGATAATTTTATCAGTTTTGTTTACGGTGTGTGCATGTCAAGGCAGTGTACATGTATGGGATTTGAAGCAAACGTCTAAACACCGTACAACTGAACACTTAACAGCTATAAAAATAAAATAATGCAGTACATGTACCGGTGTTGAATTTACAAGACCACTGGCCATCACAGGCCCGGTGGAGAGATTCTCCGCCACAAGGAGAGGGGGGGGGGGGGTACAGATGGCCATAAAACTTGCTGAGATTACAATAGTTGCTCTTGGAGTGAGTGGTCCCGAGTCCAGTGTACTCTCCCTTCTTGTCGACTGTGAATGATCACGTCTCATCAAAGATACAAGTTTTTAGAGAAATAGAAGAGAAGGGTGATAAAATATATAACAATTTTGATCCGGTAGCTGCACGTGTCGATTGAAGTTGATGGCCACAGAAGAGTGTGATTGCGGTATAGTAACACAATTATACGCCTTTCACTACTTTGTGCCCACGGCAATGGTCCGGCTTTGCCTCCACTCTCATGGCCGCCTATACTAGCTCACGTCCGTTGTATAGTCCCAGCGGGAAGTAATTGTCCGGTGGCGGTGGCCGTTTAGGTAGTGGCGAGTGTATGACAGGCTCCGGGGGAGGTGGTTGTCCTGAAGAAACAAAAACACCAAAATATGAAAAAATTAGATTAAATATAAATGCAAACGGTTTCATCAAGTAATTATGTTGACCACCTGAACTATTGACTAGTGGCATGTGCTTCGCAAGCTTGTGGCACTTCCTTGTTGATGTCTGCCGGTGTAGTCAAACTGCCCAACGCTGGGCTGAAAAACACTACAATGAAAATGTGTACTTCAGTATGTCTAATCTGCATGTCATATCACAGAGACCCAGGATGCACAAGTTGCCTATGCTACCAAGCATTCATCCTTACCTTCTGTCTTTGCAGGAGCAGCCTTTGCAGCAACGCTTAGCTGGCAGTCACGTCCAACAAATCCATCGGTGCATGTACAGAAGTAACTGTCCAGCATGCCGAGGCAGGAGGCATTGTTTTGGCACGGGTTGCTCCAGCAGTGATCAACACTGTACTCGCAATGCCTGCGTGAAGTACAAGCAAAGAATAAAGATGTTGAGACACTCCAGCATGACTGCGTCCAAGCGTCATCACGCACTGCACTGCACATTGCATTCAACTTGCTCAGATTAGGTATTGGCAAGATACTAGTACACAAAATGAATGCACTGTACTTGTCTTGGAGTACTTACTTGCCCCAGAAGGCCTTAGTGCAGTGGCAGGAAAAGCCGCTGACCTTGTCAATACAGACACCGTCGTTCTGGCATGGAGACGCCTGGCATTCGTTGACCTGCATGAAAACACACATGCATGGAAAATTGGCAATGCTGGAAACTGTACAAATGCATAAATACATTCTGTGCTGAGGAGAGAGAGAGAGAGAGAGAGAGAGAGAGAGAGAGAGAGAGAGAGAGAGAGAGAGAGAGAGAGAGATGTGCACCACGGTTTGACCACCATGTGAAGGAACACGTCCATATCCTTTTCCGGATATAAAGGTGCTGCAGGTCACTTCATCGCCGTGCAGCATCACATTTCCTGTCAGGTAATGTCACTGTGCTGCCAAAATGTTTGCAGCAAATTTCAATGCTGAATACTACACATGGCACTGAGCGGCAGCATGACTGCTGTATCTGTTTTATATTATCTCCCTTTTTATTTTAAACTTACCTCATGCTGGCACTGAGAGCCGACAAATCCCTTAGAGCATGCACAGTGGTAGTCCTCTGCTCCAATCGGTATGCACTGGCCTCCGTTCTGGCATGGCGACGGCTTGCCACAGCCGCCGGCCGGCACCTCGCAGAAATTACCGCCAAAGCCCTCGGCACACTTGCACCAGTGCGCGTTGATGGCGTCCACGCACTCTCCGGCGTTCTCACACGTGACATTCACACAGTCGTCAATGTTCACCTCGCAGTAGTGGCCATCGAAGCCGGGCGGACACTGACACGTGAAGTTGTTGATTCCGTCCACGCACTTCGCCTCGTTCTGGCAGATGGCGCGGAACAGTCCGCATTCATCAATGTTGACCCCGCACCACGGCCCGGTGAAACCTGGTGCACACGCACAGTCAAATGTACCCACCAGGTCGCGGCACTGGCCCCCGTTCATGCACACGTCGCCGGGCAGGCCAGCACAGTCGTCCACGTTGACCTCACAGTTGGCGCCCGAGAAGCCTGCCGCGCACAGACACGTGTACTGGTGCAGTCCGTCGATGCACTGTGCTCCATTCAGGCATGGCTCGGACTCACACTCGTTAATCTCCACAGCGCAGAATGCTCCTGTGAACCCAGCTGCGCACCTGTGGCAATATTGCATGCAGAGCATGAAAGACATCAGTCAGCATCTACAATAGTGGATAAAGTATAGTAAACTGTGTCCAGATAGTGTACATGATGCAGTCATGACGTTGTGCAGCCTGCTAATGGAAAGTATGAGGTGCATGATGGCAACATGATCATCGCCTTACTCCATAATCCTTACAGGCCCTCCCACACGCACACAGGTACACGCACATACAATGTACGCACACTTGTAGTTATGCATGCATGCACACTCTCACACAAACCAATGGGTAGCATCACACTAGTCATCGTTGTTGTACTTACTCGCACGAGAAGTCATTGACCTGATCGATGCAGGTGCCACCATTCAGGCACATCCATCCTCTCAGAGCACACTCATCCACATCCGTCTCACAGTTTTTGCCCTCAAAGCCGAGCTGGCATTCGCAGGTGTATGCCTCTCCAGCTCCTTTGCGACTGCACGTGCCATTGTTCTGACACGGATCCACCAGGCAAGGATCAGTGGCTGTTGTGATTATCACCTCAGCAGCAAGCGTTGTGGTGGTCATCGGGTGCTGCGTGGTAGATAGCGGTGTGGCTGTTGGAGTTTGTGTTGTTGTCGGTAGTGTAGTTGTCAAAGGTTGAGTGGTGGTCTGTGGTGCAGTTGTTTGCACCTCCGTTGTGCCCAGCATACTGGTAGCCACTTCTGCGTCTGTTGTTTCCCGCTGCACAGCATCAGATAGCGTGGTTGTGGGCATGAACGTGGCAACCTCGGGCCCAGCGGTAGATTGCTGGGTGGTCTCTAGTTCTACCGGCTGAGCGGTAAACGTCCTGACGTCCTCTGTAGGCACTGCGAGAATATCCGCTGTTCCCACTTGCTGTGTACCAGCACCAGTATGTGCTGCACTGGCCGTGGTAGTCATAGCACTCATATCTGTACCAGATGCCGGCACAGCAGTAGAATCACTTGACTGCGGGGTTGTCCTGTCCAGTGCCTGCTCAGCCTGGCTTGTGGCAAAATGAGATTCTGGTGTTGTTCCGATACTATTATTCTGTTCTGTTTGCATGTCCGTGCCTGCTTGGAACACAGTTCGGTCGGTGGTGACCCATGCGGGTGGGAACTCCGTTGTTTCAGGTCCTCCTGTCTCTGCCGTCAGATCAGTAGCGGGTACCTCAGTTTGCACTGCAGTAGATTCTGGCGTTGTTCCGATACTATGATTCTGTTCTGTTTGCATGTCCGTGCCTGCTTGAAACACAGTTCGGTCGGTGGTGACCCATGCGGGCGGGAACTCCATTGTTTCAGGTCCTCCCGTCTCTGCTGTTGCATCAGTAGTGGGTACATCAGTTTGCCCGGAAGTAGATTCTGGCGTTGTTCCGATACTATGATTCTGTTCTGTCTGCATGTTCGTGCCTGCTTGGGATACATTTTGGTCGGTGGTGACCCGGGGTGGGAACTCCGTTGTTTCAGGTCCTCCCGTCTCTGCTGTTGCATCAGTAGTGGGTACATCAGTTTGCCCGGAAGTAGATTCTGGCGTTGTTCCGATACTATGATTCTGTTCTGTCTGCAGGTTCGTGCCTGCTTGGGATACATTTTGGTCGGTGGTGACCCATGCGGGTGGGAACTCCGTTGTTTCAGGTCCTCCCGTCTCTGCCATCAGATCAGTAGCGGGTACCTCAGTTTCCTCTGTGGTGGATTCTGGCGTGGTTCCAATACTATTACTCTGTTCCGTTGGCATGTCTGTGGCTGCTTGGGATACATTTTGGCCGGTGGTGACCCATGCAGGTGGGAACTCTGTAGTTTCAGGTCCTCCAGTCTCTGCTGTCAGATCAGTAGTGGGTACCTCAGTTCGCTCTATGGCGGATTCTGGCGTGGTTCCGATACTATGATTCTGTTCTGTTTGCATATCCGTGCCTGCTTGGAATATATTTTGGTCGGTGGTGACCCATGCGGCTGCGACCTCCGTTGTTTCAGGTCCTCCCGTCTCTGCCGTTGCATCAGTAGCGGGCACGTCAGTTTGCACGGCAGTTGATTCTGGCGTGGTTCCAATATTCTGATTCTGTTCCGTTTGCATATCCGTGCGTACTTGGGATACATTTTGGCCAGTGGTGACCCATGCGGGTGCATACTCGATCGTTTCAGGTCCTCCTGTCTCTGCCATCAGGTCGGTAGCGGGTACCTCAGTTTGCACAGCAGTGGGTTCTGGCGTGGTTCCGACATCAGGGTTCTGCACTGCTTGCATGTCTGTGCCTACTTGGAATACATTAATTCGGTCTTTGGTGACCCATGCCGCTGCGTACCCAATTGTTCCAGGTCCTCCCGTCTCTGCCATCAGATCAGTAGCGGGTACCACAGTTTGCACTGCAGTGGATTCTGGCGTGGTTCCGATAGCAATATTCTGCTCTGTCTGCATGTCCGTGGCTGCTTGGAATACATTTTGGTCGGTGGTGACCCATGCGGGTGCGTACTCGATTGTTTCAGGCCCGCCAGTCTCTGCTGTTGCATCAGGACCGAGTATGTCGGTTTGTACTGCAGTGGATTCTGGCGTGGTTCCGACACTAGGATTCTGTTCTGTTGGCACGTCCGTGGCTGCTTGGGTTACATTTTGTCCGGTGGTGACCCATGCGGGTGGAAACTCCGTTGTTTCTGGTCCTCCTGTCTCTGCCGTCAGATCAGTAGCGGGTACCTCAGTTTGCACTGCAGTGGATTCTGGCGTGGTTCCTACACTATGATTCTTTCTTGTTTGCATGTCCGTGGCTGCTTGGGATACATTTTGGCCAGTGGTGACCCATGCGGGTACATACTCGATTGTTTCAGGTCCTCCCGTCTCTGCCGTCAGATCAGTAGCGGGTACCTCAGTTCCCTCTGTGGTGGATTCCGGCGTGGTTCCGATACTATGATTCTGTTCCGTTTGCATGTCTGTGGCTGCTTGGGTTAGATTTCGGTCATTGGTGACCCATGTGGGTGCATACTCGATTGTTTCCGGTCCTCCAGTCTCTGCTGTTGCATTAGGAGTAGGTACATCAGTTCGCACGGCAGGAGATTCTGGCGTTGTCTCGATACTATGATTCTGTTCTGTTTGCCTGTCCGTGGCTGCTTGGGATGCATTTTGGCCGGTGGTGACCCATGCGGGCGCATACTCAATTGTTTCAGGTCCTCCTGTCTCTGCCATCGGATCAGTAGCGGGTACTTCAGTTTGCACTGCGCTGTGGTGAGCATCAAAATGCGGTGTTCTGGCCTCTGCTGCTTCCGTTGTTTGATTGGGCTGAGTTACGTTTTGCTCAGTGCCAATCTCGGTATTGTCTTGTGCCATGGTGGGAACGACTACATTGATTAATTCTGTCATGTTAATGTGGACACCATCAGTACTAGGAGCAGCTGGGTTGGAATCAACGCCGGTCTCAGCCGTAGTGTTCTCTGTATTGACAACCGTTCCTTCTGCAATTCCCGGTGGAGTGGTTTCCCCGGCGCCCAAGGTTGTGCCCGACTGGGCAGTTTGAGCAGCCACCTCCATTTGGCCTGCAGTTTCAGATGCATTGGCTGGTGGAGTGGTTTCCCCGGCACTCAAGGTCGTGGCCGACTCGGCAGTTTGAGCAGCCACCTCCGTTTGGCCTGCAGTTTCAGATGCATTGGTTGGTGGAGTGGTTTCCCCGGCACTCATGGTCGTGGCCGACTCGGCAGCTTGAGCAGCCACCTCCGTTTGGCCTTCAGTTTCAGATGCATTGGTTGGCGGAGTGGTTTCCCCGGCACCCAAGGTTGCGACCGACTCGGCAGTTTGAGCAGCCACCTCCGTTTGGCCTGCAGTTTCAGATGCATTTGTTGGTGGAGTGGTTTCCCCGGCACCCAAGGTTGCGACCGACTCAGCAGTTTGAGCAGCCACCTCCGTTTGGCCTTCAGTTTCAGATGCATTTGTTGGTGGAGTGGTTTCCCCGGCACCCAAGGTTGCGACCGACTCAGCAGTTTGAGCAGCCACCTCCGTTTGGCCTGAAGTTCCAGATGCATTTGTTGGCGGAGTGGTTTCCCCGGCACTCAAGGTTGTGACCGACTCGGCAGTTTGAGCAGCCACCTCCGTTTGGCCTTCAGTTTCAGATACATTGGTTGGTGGAGTGGTTTCCCCGGCACCCAAGGTTGCGACCGACTCAGCAGTTTGAGCAGCCACCTCCGTTTGGCCTGCAGTTCCAGATGCATTGGTTGGTGGAGTGGTTTCCCCGGCACCCAAGGTTGTGACCGACTCGGCAGTTTGAGCAGCCACCTCCGTTTCGCCTTCAATTTCAGATGCATTGGTTGGTGGAGTGGTTTCCCCGGCACCCAAGGTTGTGACCGACTCAGCAGTTTGAGCAGCCACTTCTGTTTGGCCTGCAGTTTCGGATGCATTGGTTTGTGTACTCTCAGTTGCCACTCCTGATGGTGACTCAGTTGCCACTCCTGGTGGTGACTCAGTTGCTGTGCTGTTTGCGAATACCACAGCGGTATTCACTTTTGTAGAGACTGGCGCGGCCTTCCAGTCAAAGTCAGCGTTTGGGACAGTCGTGCTCCCTGGGCCAGCGTATATAACGCCGCTTTTCTCTCCATTGCCGCCTCCTAAAGGATAACCGGTTGGGTGACCATGATCATGTATCTTATACTGGCGGTCGGCTGGAACTTGGAGAATATCCTTGCCTGCATCCTTGCCTAGATATGGATAGGGTTCTGCAGTTGAATCAACAGGCTTTGCAGCAATCTGATTGGGTTCTGTCTTAGCAAACTCGACCGGAACACCGCCGTCTGCAGTGGGAATGACATCATTACTTGTTGTCATGATATAATTGCTTGGTGTAGTTGTGCCATTGGGTGGGGTGCTTGCTGCAACTTGTTCTGTGGCCATGGAGGGTTGTTCCGACGGGGCACCTTCGGTAGCATTTGCAACTTGTTCCTTGACCATGGAGGTTTGTTCCGACGGAGTATCTTCGGTAGCATTCGCAACTTGTTCCGTAACCACGGAGGGTTGTTCCGACGGGGTATCTTCGGTAGCATTCGCAACTTGTTCCTTAACCATGGAGGTTTGTTCCGACGGGGTATCTTCGGTAGCATTTGCAACTTGTTCCTTAACCATGGAGGGTTGTTCCGACGGGGTATCTTCGGTAGCATTCGCAACTTCTTCCGTAACCACGGAGGTCTGTTCCGACGGGGTACCTTCGGTAGCATTTGCAACTTGTTCCTTAGCCATGGAGGTTTGTTCTGAAGGGGTACCTTCGGTAGCATTTGCAACTTGTTCCTCAGCCATGGAGGGTTGTTCCGACGGTGTACCTTCTGTAGCATTTGCAACTTGTTCCTCAACCACGGAGGGTTGTTCCGAAGGCGTACCATCGGTAGCATTTCCTTCGCCATGATCCAGTGGTATGGTTGGGTCAACTTCAGACTGGTTTTGACCTGAGGTTGGTGGCTCTATGGTTGCAATTGTGAGAGCTGGGTCCTGCTGCGGGTTCAGGGTTTCACACTGCCGTCCAGTATAGAGAGGCATGCACAGGCACCTGCTGCAGTCGGAGAGCAACGTGCCACCATTCTGACATGACAGGTCACAGACTGCACACAGTACATGCCAGTATACACGCACACATGCACACACATGCACACACACGCACACACACACACACACACACACACACACACACACACACACACACACACACACATCCATACATGCACATATGCAAACCAAACATGACATTAGCTGCACATCATGACCAGGTATCCTTTGTGTGTTTTCGCACCTGCATTCGAGTGTATGTACTTCCAAGAACAGTACACATACATGTGCTTTCCTGGCACAATGTCCACCATTGAGATCTTCACTGTACAGTGTAGAGTACATCATATGTATTACTACGCGCTGTATTACATGTACATGCCATCAGCTTGGATATTGTTGGCACACAGGTGTTAGATACCTGAGATAGCCTTTGCCGCTTGAACCAGTCTTGATGTATGTGTGTGTGTGTGTGTGTGTGTGTGTGTGTGTGTGTGTGTGTCTCATTCTCTCTCATTCATTCTCTCTCTCTCTCTCTCTCTCTCTCTCTCTCTCTCTCTCTCTCTCTCTCTCTCTCTCTCTCTCTCTCTCTCGGTCACACACACACACACACACACACACACACACACACACACACACACACACACACACACACACACACACACACACACACACACACACACTACTACTACTACTACTACTACTATTGACAGCTGCCAGGATTGGCCACGCCGCTCCCAGATGGGAGGTACTGTCAGAGAGGTTAGGGGGGGAGGAAGGCAATGCTCCAAGTGGCGTTCCAGATCTTGCCGCCTCCGGAACCGTCGGTTGTGTAAGTCGAAGTATTGTCGCAGTACGGATTTGGCGTGAGATTTCTGTTAAACCATCCTTGAAGGGTGGTGGCGTTCCTACGGATGTGGAAAACTCAGCCTCTAGCTGAGTCTGACGCGAACCGTGAATTTTTTTCTTCTGTTAAACTGGAAACTGTTGTTGTTGGCAGAATGAAATTTGAGAAATTAGTTGTTGAGTGCACAGTAAGGTTTTGTTCAGGTTGGCCTATAGCAATGTTTGTTAGCTCTACACAGGTGCATAGCGTAATTATGTTCGAGAGTATTCCAGGACAAACTTTAGTCCGGTTGATTTGGAAATACAGTTTCACGGTTGCAGCTGTATGCCAGTACCCGGATGTTTAGACTAACCAAATCTATGACGCAAATCCACGAAACGTCCGCATCGTAGCATACACTGGTCAGTAAGCAAATGAGCGGAGTGCTTGGTACTGAATACTGCACTCTCTGTCTCAGTCCTGTATAATGATCATCTCCCTGTCTCTCCCCCTTGTTGTTTCCACCATACAAATGTCCTCCCCAACCTACCTGGACCGCATTTTCAGTGGAGGGAAAGTGTAGTTATGCCAGCTCAACACAGGGCTTTTTGCAACTAAACAGCTGTACCTGTGTTGCTACAAGTACAACACATCACAGACTTCACTGCCCACTGGCTGCTTACGCCTGATATACTGACTAGATCAACAACAAAAAAGTTCGGCTGGTGACACTGGCGATACTGGAGGGACCGAATAGTGCTTCATGTACAACGGGTCATGTTACAATCATTGCACAATCATGTACATTGTAGTTCTGCGTTGCGCCTCATTGAGGTTTCATGATCGAACACGTTCCCAGGCACAAGAGAGTCGAAGAAGATCATCCCAGGCTTTTCTCATTGCCGTGCTCCTACGCGTAGGGGATGTAGTACCACCGGTACGTGCAGTATTGGATTCGGCTGAACACCGATGTCCACTACATCACGCGAAGATGCGATAAAAACTAGGAGGGCCGGAGTGACATGTCTTCGGCACCGATAGTCACTCTAAAAAATTAATGCAAAGTGGTTCGGCGCGGCCAGACCACCGGCGCTACTCATAATCCCACTGTAGGCGGGCGAGCTATTTGCTACAGAAAACTCTAGTCTCTAGCCAGATTGCAGTGATCTTCGTCCGTGAAACGATCATTTGGGGAAATGAAGGGGACAAATTTTAGCGGAGAGACTTTGACAGGATGGAATTCTTTTTGCAATGCCTTACCGTCACACGATTCGGTAGCATTCCGGCAGCCACGACACGTCTCTCCCGTGTTCGTTGGGTTGGGAAACCCGAAGAGATCCATCTCCAAGGAGCCGTTGTGCGTACAGACGAAGTGCAACTGCCGCAAAGCATTGTCATTGTCCACCACCGTGAAGACGACCTCCTTGGCGAAACCACGACGATCGAATGCCAAGCAGTTCAGATAAGCATGAGAAACGATCGAGTTCGGAGGCAGTAGTGGCCTCGCTGTGATTTGCAGCTGTTCCGCAGACCAAAGTGTTAGCAAACTGCAGTTAGGCGCTGCAAGAGTGGCCAAATCTGCTGCCTCCGGCCAATGCCCTCGGTGTTGAACTGGCGCAGCATGAGAACCTAGCCAGAACGCGCATGAAACGAGCAGTATGCTTTGGGCGGACAAACAGCAGAAGCTGAGACGATTCACACACCCACTGCAAGCCATCTCCGTTACTTGTAGATCCACAAGCAGGCGAGAAGAGACAGCAGACCTTTCAGCGCTTCCTCATCTGACCTTTGCACCCACTCCTTTGGTGCACACTCGACTCTCCAGTTCCAATCGCGTCTAACTCAGTCTCTACGACTCTAGATCGCCCTGATTCGTTCTGTTGGCCGAAGTGGGTGAATGGCTATGTGGGAAGGTTTCGTCCAAGCGTGTTCACAACTACTCCAAGTGACACTTCGCTTTCAGTTTCACTTTACCGTCCTTCTCCTCACCGATCGGGCCGTGCGATGGCCAGCGACAAGGTAGCAGCGGTGCATAAGATGATGCGTTGGCTTCTGGCGGGGGTTCGGTGCATGGCGAGTGCGAGCGTCGGGCTGCCACATAGCGACTCGGCTAGGAGGAGTGCAGGCACGTTGTTGTTGTTGTTGCGAGAGGCTAAGGAAATCAACCCGCTACCCGTCGTCTGTACATGGCGCAGCGCTTGCTAAGTTCCAACCGGCAACAGTCACAGTCGCCGCTGTGTGCATCCTGTGACGTTGCTAGCTGGTGTTGGCCTCCAGTGATCCACTTGCTTGAAAGTATGCCAGTTGAACTGCAGCACCATGGTTATGGACTTAGTGTCGCTTATGTTGAACATGGCTACACGTCAACTAAAATACTACTTTGTCTGCTTCATGGATACGTACACTGGCATGCGACCTAGTATTCATGCCCAAATTAGCAAAACTATTGCATTCACTTCGGGCCATGACATTGACGGAACGCCTACCGCCGGCATGTAGTCTGCAGAACGTAGATCTACTTGTTGCTTGATAAAAGAGAATGCTGACTTCACTATGCCCTGGTTGGTTATATTACAACTCTGCACAATGCAATGCATGTAAAACAGCAGTGATACTGGTGTACATGTATTGCATCGCATGAACTGACGAGGGCTATGTGACGTCTAGCGTCTGCGCTTGTCTGCTCAGTTGCACCATTGAACCGGTGGTGAACCCTGCTCCACGGTAGAATCTACGAATAGTTCAGAACCTCTGCAGACTGCAGAGTCTTGTGCTGCCAGTGCCAGACAGTCTCAAGCCCACACCCACACCCATACACTACGTATGATATGATGTGTAGCAGTCGCGACTGCCAGGCATCTTGTTTGTTTGTTTGTATTTATTTTGATTCGCAAATTCAAACAGGCATAGATGATAGAACCCAATAACATGAAAGCGAATATGAAAATTATAATGAGAATGAGAATTTTAAAAACACTTAGATCTTCAGCGTAGAGTCAGCGGTACATCAGAGGGAGATCGGGTACATCAGAGGGAGATCGGGTGCAATCTCTGTCAGTTATGACCGTCTGGATCTCACAAGGTTGACTGATTTATTGCTACATTTGTATTTCAAGAAGACCTAACCCGACCCATCACCCAGACCAACACTGGCAACATGTTTCCAGGTTTGGAGAAGGGCCTTGTCGTGACCACAATGGATGGGGCATTACTTTGTACATGATACATTTCCAGTGTACTTCGAGATACCACGGGACCAGACGCTGTGCATGTGTTCTTAGGTTTATAATAATTATGTACTTATTTCTTTGCATGTTGCAGCCATTACAGGCTACACTGCCACCATCCGCATTGAGGTTTGTACATACCATGAAATGGCATGATACAGACAGTGATCTACACACCACACAATCATGTACAGAGTTGTGGGTGAGACCGGTCACCACTGCCACTGGGTCACAGAAACCTACACTACAGCCTACATAACACTACACTACGAGTACCATGCAGTACAGGCTGTGGCAAGCTGCTGCGTTGAAAGCCTACATAATGCACATAAGGCGGTAGTACATAGTCGGGCAATGGGATGACGTCAGCTGACGATCAGAGATGCTTGTGCGGCCAATCATCTGAATGGATGCATTTGTGCGCGTGTGCCCGTCACCGATACAACTAGGAGTAGGAGCGTCGCGCGCCATTCTCTCCGCCCGCTTCGATCACCAAGCTAGGACAATGTAAGAGCGTGTAGAATCTTCAGGGGAAGGTATCGGCCAACCGTCAAGCAGACCTTACCCCGTAATGCCTGCCAATATCGTTAGGCTGTGACAGTGTCCATCAGGCTTCACTACTGCATGGACGTCGGTAGGGAAGCGACGGCCGGAACATTCGAACAGGGATATCCTCGCTCTTGCACTTAACGTGTACTTCAGCGTGGAAGACAGAGTGTCGCGTATACGCTAGCATGTTGCAGAGCCTGTGTCACAGTGTGTGCTGTGTCTGCGGGATATCGTTTAGCAGGGGAACGGTCATCATCATGTTCATAGCACTTAAGCAGTCTAATGTCATGCATGAGTGAAAAAGACCGATGGCGTGTTGTCGGCCTACATGGGGAAAGTTCTGCCCAACACAACACGAATGCTTTTAAAGGCGTCTATGCGGGTCCAGTACTTCCTTTGTAGAAGCCCACGACGCAACTTGATAACCTATTCGAAACAACAACAAATCTCATTTGTTGTTGTTGTTGTTGATTTTATTCGGATTCCCTGACCAAAACAGACAAAATATACCCCACAACAATGGGGTTAACAAGGAGAGGCACAGTGTCCTGAATTTCCTCTCACTAGAATGGAGCCATAGTATCGCTATACAGTACATGAACCTCCTTGGAAATCGTGCATTTTGCTTTGGAGCGACTGACTCTAGTGGTGGGGGTTTCAAAGTACCCAGCCTGTACATGAATTCTTTGATACCTCCTGGGCCAATGCAGTTACAGAGAGCTGCAGGCAGTAGATCTACACTACAGACGTTCCTGTTTTGCGCATGTCATCACCTAGGCTTTCGGCAGCGCTTTGCTGACATGGCGTCACAAAAGACAGTGGGTTTCGCGGCAAGCCGACCGGTACTTGCGGAACCTGCGTGCCATTAAAACTTATAATACATTAGCATAAAGCGTATTTAAAAGAAGTAAATTATCGTGTCTGTTCCCGAAGGAAACTCACGACGGTCGCTAACACCCGGTAAACCATAGTAAATACATACATCAGCATAATATAGGCAACATAGGGTGCTCCACTGCTGGAAGAGTGCTCCATACCCCGAGGCAGAGCGGTTTTTACATGGACTCCGAGCTTTACGTTAGTCGCGGTAATCAGGCAACTGTGGGGGAGGGGGAGGGAGGGATGATAATAAGAACAGCTCGAATTGAGCTCTACGCATCTGTGAGTGAAAAGGTTCCATTCATGTCTGTTTTCGGCTAAGACAAAGGTTTCAGGGACAGTGATGTTGGTTTTCTTCAGGTCTTGCTTTATAATGTTCGTCTATCTGGTTGGTGGACGTTCGCGTGGCTTTTTAATATCTTCAATGTTGAAGGCTACGTATATGGCTTGAAGGGATGATGAAGTCAGGCAACCAGGACCTACATCTAATCTTTACTAGGCAGAGCGAGGCGAGGAGTCGAAGGAATTAGAACCGAGCCTGACCAGGACTGCAGTTCTCGCAGTTCCCTTTACAACGCCGTGCACGTTTTTGGGCTTGGTCCCTATAGACTCCCTAATCGTAGTGTTTGACCTGTCTTCTGAAGTTAGTTTTGTGCGAGACCCGCCTCTGCGTGACCTACACGCCTCACAACCTTGTCGCCTGGGGTATCACTATCACTGTATCAGTATGTATGAACGGTTTGTGATAACTGTTACTTGCTTCCAGTTCTTTCGCCTCTTCGCCTCGCGCTCCCTTAATCAGTTAATGTTCGGGTCGCCTGACTTGACTCACCAGTTGCCTGATGAATATGAAGAGCGGACAATTCTTGGGTTCTTCTCTCCTTGCTGTCAGTTCATGTACAACGACATGTATGTTTACTTGGAAAGGTCTTCTTTGTAAATTCGGAACGACGCTTCACGCAGCTTCATTATAGCAACTTGTATTGTGGCAACACTGGCCAACAGGTCTTCTTTGGTTGTGAGAACTGTGTTGAACACGTTGTACTGCAAGAGACCTAACACCGCGGACCGGTATTCCTTCACCTTCAGAAACCACCATATTATACCAAGAGTACAATGTACTCTTGGCGATGCATTGCATCATTTCCCGCCAGGCACCGCCATGGCGTTTTGTCCGTGTCCTCAACAGTACTGGTTAGTCAGTAATCAGACTGGTAATATGATGGCGATGGACATGGCACGAAACCGCAGCACTACGAGAATCAGAAAAGACCTCGACATTCTCTTCGTCACTTCCATCGAGTACTAGTATCCATGAAGACTACTACTAGTATAGTATACTGTTGGACATGGCCTATGGTGTCATGCGTCGACGCCATGGAGAAGACCGACTAGAATCACCATGTACTATTATACTTATAGGACGCCATCGCCTCACCAGGTCCATGGAACTCAAATAACCGGAGGACTTCTTTTTGAACTCCATATCCAGTGCACTAGTGACTGCCACAGCCCACAGGACTGCTGGTGGTCCTGACGTCATGACGTGACAGGCTGAGCTGAAGCTGAAGCCGGGTAAGGATAATCGTGGCGACTGTGTCTTGTTGTCATTTTCAAGTGTTCTCACCCTTGTCACGACCCGCCAGCGGCAGGTAGCCTTGGTGTTGACACTGACAGACGGCTCGTGAGAAGACGTGGACAAAAGCCTGAAAGGGGAGAACTGATGCAGATCAGTCGGAGTGCTGAGCTGAAGTACTTACTGCTTACCCGACATTCCTACATTGTACTAGTATTTTTTTACGACTCTTTTCCTAAGCAATACACGTACACATGATAATTATGAATGGTTCAACAATATGTGAATCATGGGATGCCTCTTCAAGTCTTCATTCGTCCGCGGCAGTTCCGAGACGGGGTGGGCTTCGTCTCGTCTCATTTCATTGCAAAGACTAAGTGAGAAAAGTCCTACCGGTACTCCTACATGTACATGTACATGTATGTGCTACATTCGAGCGTTTGCCTGCCCCCCCCCCCCCCCCCCACTAGCCCTTGGCGGAGAATAGGCAGATTCTGCTCGAAAAGCAGTGAAGTTGGCAGAACCATAATAATGAGTTCCACCGCCGGATCGACGGGTCCTGGCCTGTGGCAAAGATTTACATGTATTTAGCGATACTTCAGCTACTGCATTGCGCTCTTGATACCACTACACTGTAGTGTCTGTAGTACCATACATGTTGGATTCGATCGTCTGGGAGTAGTCTCTTGCTCTCGAAGCCGTTGCCAGGTGGTAATGAATGTTACAAAATCATGAACGGGCGGGATTCCGGAGGCGTTTATCGACAGTATTCAACAGTGACTATAGACTAGTCGAGGAGCAAGTGGGTCAACTACTAGTACATGTACTGTAACTCCCATTGTTCTCTCTTTTCGTTGCTGTTGGTCACCTTGGCATTCGTCCATGCCACTATTGTTTCGATAGAATGTCTCACGATGAATAATAATACTGATGGGCTTCCTAGGAGCTACAATGTAGGAGGGAGGTTGCAGTGACAAAACATCATAGCCTTAGTAAAAAACACGAATTTTGAATAGAATAGCACGGTTCCAACGTTATTCATTGACTGAGCGTTCTTTGCTTTGTACGTAATAACGCTACTGATACTAGTAGTAGGCTATTTTCTACAATAGTTTATTGTTTCCATTCGCTTTTTTGTACAGTCATGCACATAATCATTGTACATGACTGTATGTAATCGGGCGACACCACGGCACCCGTATGGTTATCATGGTTATGCGCGACCTACCAGGTCAGATTTCAGATAGGCTGGTACTTCAACTTCATACTAGCAACCAGGGAGTCGTAAAATACCATTCCCATTTTACGACTCCATGGAGTGATAGCAACACTCGGACATTTGCCAGGGAGCCTGAGTCGTCAGTCTTCGACGAGAGTCCCTGGTTGACACATAGTCATTACGCGATCCGGCGAACCAGCTTACCAAGGGCTTGTCGTCCCCTACTGCCCTAGCCTACCAGCTGCTGGCCTAGGCTAGGCGCCTGGCCAGCTGGGCGCCATATGGCCTTTTATGGGCCCGATCGCCGAAAGCAAAAAGACAGAAAAAGAAAGATTCTACGTAAAATGGCGCTAAATTCCAAAGGAGCACGCACGTGCGGAACTCGCGCATGCATCGTCCACCCGATATGTGCACGCGTGGTGCACCGCGTACCGGTGATCTACGTAGATCTATCTACGTGCTACGACCAGTCGACACTAGTGCACTGCTCATTGATCACTCAAAGAAAAAGCCTTGCTCTCACTCATCACATGCACATGCATGCGGCCTGCGTGCTTGACTTGAGATCGAGAGACTCAGAGTGTAGCCTGTTTTGAAACTGGAAAACAAAGGCGAACTCCACGCGTAGATTCTACACGGTCACCAGATAGACGCCGCTGCTCGTGCATGTAGCAAACCGACTGTTTTGTTTGTTCCCGAAACAAAGCACTTTCTGACTTGTTCTTGTGCTATCTCCACTTTTATGTGTATTGTTCAAGGAGTTGAGTTGCTCTCTGTGCATCTTCTTTGAGAGCTGGCTTGAAAACTTTGAACTGAGCATGAGTAGGGCCAGGGGTTGAGGCTAAAAATGTTCAACCAATTCAAATATGAGAAATCGAAAATGGCTGACAAAATCTTTTCAGTGAGAGATGAAGAAGACGACGACGGTGGCTCTTCCGACACAGAGTCTTGGTCGGGCACACCGCCAGACACTCCACCTCCACTAATCCGTCGGGCGCCCATCACCACCATACCTGAGACACCACCCGAGAACTGGTGCAAAGTCTCGAACACTCACTCGGAGAGGTCGCAGCCTTGTGCCAGCAATGTCCCGTCCTTCTACGGGGTGCATAGCTCAACTATCAACAACTCATCATCGTCAGCAAGAGCCACGGCTGGTATGAGCGCTTCGAGTAGCAGCAGGAAGCCTGCTCCGATACGGTTGTCTTTCAAAGAGAAGAGCAGCACTGCCAGCAGTGAAAATGGAACAACGGACAGCAAAGCTGCTGCTCGCTCCGGGAAGTCTCTTGACGTGATGCGTTTAGTGGAAATGTTCCCCGAAACTGAGCCGAGTCATCTGCAAGAAGTGCTCGATGGCTGTGAAGGCAACGTGGAGGCAGCTGTTGGAAAGCTGCTGGCTGAAGACGGTGAGTATTTGACTTGTGCTTACTTACATAAAATATGTGGATGACTGACGACATGTGGAATTCAAAAGGGATTTCCCCTTTCTTCTGCATACTATAATACCAAGAGTAGATAAACAAGAGTGTGCAACTCCGGATGGATTGGCCCACGGCGGAATTTTTTGTTGACGTAATCTTTTCGACGACGCACGCGCTGCGAGCCTTTTGGAGAGTTTTCCCTCGTGCACTTGGCTGGGCTTTACACTACAAGGTCGGTGCCCAGCACGTGCTCTCACACTGATCTGCGGCAAAGCCGCGTTTCTCTGAAAAAAGGTGACGTAAACAAAAAATTCCGCCGTGGGCGCGGGGTATCTGCAGATTGTGCAGGAGAGATCCGGAGTTGCACACTCTTGTTTATCTACTCTTGATAATACTGTGGCATTCTGAATATGAGTCTGTGACGCTACAAAGTACAATGCTAATGTGACGTCCAAGGGGTTGGCTTCTCATACGGATCGTTTGGCTTTGCTTCGTAAAGACTATTTGCTGTGAGACCAAAGCGTATGGTTCGCCAGGCGACCTCTATTCTATCGGCTTGGCTCTGCTAGTTGTTGTTGTATTATGCGATGCGAAGCTGGGCTTCTAGTAAATCTATAATACTGTGGAGGCCTTATAATTATGTAACGAAGTGCTAAATCAAGCGACTTAAATTAAAGAGGAGATATCTGTCGTTAAAATAGACCACGTTATACATACAGGCAACTTGGCTAATAACGACTGCGGATATAACGACTGCGGATATAACGACAATTGGCGAATAACGACAGAATTTCCATGCCCAGAGCAAAGTCCATACTACCTGTATACCTATAATGAGACTTCGGGTATGACGACACTTCGCGAATAAGGACGCTTTTCTGATGCCCGGCCGAGTGTCGTTTCGCGCAAAGTTGACTGTAAATCGATACTTATACTGTTGCTGGTGAGCGTTGAGAATGAGTTAGTATTGTTACCTTTGGTATACGTATCTGGTCAATTTTAGGAAATCGTTATATTTGCGGCTCGTTAGAATAGTGGCTTTTACAGTACTACATGGTAGGGTCTATGTATGTCAGACAAACTTTCTTACTTAGTGTGGTGCGCCGCATTCTGATGATCATGTCGCTGAGGCTAGTTCGAGATCCATGCATACATTCCGAGTGAAAATGGTTGATAATAGTGGAGCCCAGCTGATTGGGAAGTGGTGCATTGTGGCCTCTCCAAACAAGACGATTCAATTCAGCAAGGCGAGGACGATTCCTTCTGAAATTTCATTGCTGCCCGACTTTCGGCAGTCCCCTTTCTAGCGTTTAAAGTGAGCACATACAATGTGCGAGCATCATGTGGAAGAGTCAGCGTGAGCACAGCAAAGCTAATTTAATTGCTGCTTAAATTGCAACATGTACGAGGGTGCATGGCTGGATGCGGTCAGTTGGGGGAAGCACCGCACTGACTGGAGTCACCTAGTAGGTTTTGTAATTTTGGGCAGGATTGCTTTGTGCTCGTGGATGCTAATGAACAAGAATGGATAGATGCGGCTAGCCTGCGCCATAAGTCGAGGCCTGACCTAGACAAAGAATGAATGGCTAAACACCACCGTTGCTGATTTGCTGTTTCTTACTGCCACACTAGGAGAGTCTCCTATGCCAGCCTTGGTGCCATGCGGGAAACGACGTCGCCTTGTGTCAGGTGATTCAGATGATGGCGGTGACGTGGTGGTTGCATCTTCAGCGGTCACGGCTGCTAAGCGTTCGCGCCGCATCTCGTCGGCGGACAATGGATCGATGTCGCTGCGAATCAGCCCACGCAGCACACGCTCTGTGTCCATTGACGAGAGTCCCATTGGCAGGAAGCCCCGCGGTCGGCGTGCATTCCTGGCTGCTAGCGATGACGAAGACGAGAATGGCGGCGGTACTGGTGCTGGTCTTATTATGGTCAGCGAAGACGACGAGAACACTGAAGAGTATTACGTGGACAACTGGATGCACGTGCGCAAGGATCACGTTCTTCACTTCCTCAACACGGCCAAGGGCCAGAAGATGGCCACGGTGATGAAGGTCAGCTATGTCAAGCAAATGCGTAGCCGACGACCGTTCGCTTCCTGGGAAATGTTTGTGAGTACATTGAATATGATATAATTTATACTGGTGGCAGGTGTGATATCACGTTTGTACCTATTCCATTGGGGTAAAAGATTCCCCTGTTTTCTACTACGATACATATACTTTGAATGCTAGCCTCTCTTGGTTTCCATCAGCTTGCTTATTGTAAGTGTTGAATCTCTAACGAGGTACCCAGTTTATAATCTTTGTGTGTCGTTAGAGTTCTCTGTTCTGGAGATAGAAAACACGAGTGTGTGATGGCAGGGGTCATTAACTTTAAGACTCGTTATTGCATCAACTCTTTACAGTATTAAATTAAACATTATTCTTGGAAGAAATTTAAAATTTGGACTTCACGGAGAAATTCAAACTAATTTCCTATTCTTGGAAGAATTATGACAATCAGATGCTCTTCACCTTTCTATCAATGCGTGAATGAGTGAATATATGGAAGAGGGCTTACAGCTACACTGTACAACCTCTTGTGATAAAACAGTGTTGTCCCCTGTGCTTGCTTGTGTCTGTCTGCTTGTCTTATGTCTGCCCTATATCTGTGCTTGTGTGGGTCTGTCTGTCTGTCTATCTGTCTTATTCCCGCATTGTATCTGTGTTCAGCTTGAGCAGCTGGCTGATGCAAAGATACCTGAGGAGGTGAGGAATAGGAATGTTTAAAGCGAGTCTTTGTTGGCACGGCAATGGACAGAGAGTGGTCATTGCCGTGCGTGTATCGGCTGTTGTGCAATACTACATGTAGTATATGAACTGAATTGACAGTGGGTTGGAGAAATGAAGTTCTGGGTTTTTCAGCCAGGAACATTGCGCCATGAGACGATAACTACAATTTGCAACCAGGGGTGTAGCCAGCTTTGTGTGTACCGTACTGTCTTGTATAAAAGCCTGTTTTGAACACAAGCCTGATTTTCTAGATGCAACGTCGGCACATAAGCCTGGCTTTAGTGCTGCCATACATTGAAATACTCCTCATAAAATCAATGTTGGATGCTCTACAGAATGGCATTATTAGCACTGAGTTGTAGACTTGAACATGTCACTTGCACAGTTGTGATGGTCATGCCCTGCTCTTTTCAACTCTGTGCATCACGTGTCGGCATTCTTCTGTTGGGATTCTGGTTGTTTGCAGCGCATCATTCCGAAAGTGCACGTCCTTGTTGAAGACATCCTGGTCATGCGGACACTGATGGAGAAGTGTGACCGCGTGTCCAAGCGCTTGAAAAGCCTCTTCGATAACAGTGTAGGTGAAATGCTCTGTTGGGCACTGTCTGTCATTCAAAAATACTCTACATGATGAATTTTGCAATGCTTTATTTGCTCAATCTGCGGACAGATTTATTTATTTATGATGTATGATGGTTCAGAGTGTGGACAGGGATTATGTTAGGCTCTGGGTCCTAAGGCAAATATTCTAATTGAGATTCTACACTAGTATGTTGTGTGTATGTGGCTACATGGGATTATACGAAGTGGACTAAGGCGGTGTGCTGTCTTGTCCTGTTTTCTTGTTCTCAGGGTAGAGCCTCACACCTTCTTCCCCAGCCTAAGAATCTCAATACCAAGTAAGGGACTGTCTTGTAGACTTGGAAACAGAAGAATAGTTCTGTCTTTGCAACAATAGTCTTCACCTCTGAAAATGTACATACATATCGCTCGCCTAAAGCCTGTGAAAATATGAAGTAAAACTGTCTCTACTCCGAAGTTTCATGGAACAATGCTATCATCAAGAGACTGCCTGTGTGTGTGTGTGTGTGTGTGTGTGTGTGTTTCAGTTTATCTCGCTCCGTCTCTTTCTCTCTCTCTTTCTCTCTCTCTCTCTCTCTCTCTCTCTCTCTCTCTCTCTCTCTCTCTCTCTCTCTCTCTCTCTCTCTCTCTCTCTCTATCTATCTATCTCTATCTATCTATCTCTCTCTATCTATCTATCTATCTATCTATCTACCTATCTCTATCTCTCTATCTCTCTCTCTCCCTCTCACACACACACACACACACACACACACACACACACACACACACACACACACACACACACACACACACACACACACACACACACACACACACACACACACACACACACACACACACACACACACACAAACACATACACATGCACATACACATGCACATACACACACGTCTATACATCCATTTACTTTTTCACTGGGTCTTTTTGTTGAATATCTGGACACGTGCTCATGAATAGTTTGATTTATTCCCGTAGCTATGCAGAAGACGTTACTTCAGTAATGTCTGGCGCTTGCCAGGGTCCACACAGCTTTAATTTGGTATTTGTTTGTTTGTGTGTTTGTGTCACGCCTGGCGCTATCCGTATCTGACGGCAAAAAAGCATAGGATGTTATACATTTTTCAATTCTCTTTTTTTTTCAGGCATATCCTGGGATTCGAACCCGCACTATCGCCCTACATGCATTCCCCCATACACTTCGCATTCATACCCATTCTTCCAAGTTGCTTCACGTTATAATCTTGCGTTTGAAAGCCCTATTTGAATATTGCGGGCAGCTGTATGTGGCCAGCTGTGTTTGATGGTACGGTACGGTACGGGAGACGGTGTCGTATTACCCTCGATCGTACCTGTCCCGTACCTATCCCCTACCGTACAGTGCCATCAAAGACGGCTGGCCACAATGCATATTCAAATAGGGCTTTCAAATGCAAGATCACAATGTGAAACAACTTGGAAGAATTAGTATGTATGCGAAGTGTATCGGGGGATGCATGCAGGTCGCGCGAAAGTGCGGGTTCGAATCCCAGGTTATGTCTTAAAAAAAAGGATTTTTTTAAAGAATTTATAACATCCCTCACGGCTGTCAAGAAGCGGCAACTTAGAAAGATGGCGTCGGTTCGAGATGGCATGGTAACCGCGCACGTGCCGTGCACGCGTGGTCCGTGACTTGCTCATGTATGCACGCAAATGCAAGTCACAAACTCACAAAGATCGTCTTTGCATTTGGAGAAAATATCTTCGACTCTCTTTGGAGGTTGGCGAGGTTTGCCTAATCTTTACTTGATTGCGATGCCGGTATGTCCTGTCAATAATTAGAACAAAGAGAGCTGATGATCGCTTCATTGCTGAGCAGAAGTAACAATCAACTCTCCTCATGTCCTCAGTGCGAAAGGCAGACGACTGCAGTTCCACAACGCTCATTTCACGATGATGGAAACAATAATCGTGTACTAGTACACACTTGGACCATTTGGTCATCCCTATTCTAGCCGCTAGTCCGTCCAGCATGCAGATATTGACTATTACGATAAGGACAACTGCGTGAACGAGGGCTCGCCCAGCAAATACAATTCAAGTCGTGACTCCAGTCAAGAATTAGGGTCTTTACTCGAGAACTTCACAAATACAGGCCAAGGCACCCCACAAAACTGATAGATGGCATGAACGAAAGACAAATAGGCTAGACAAAGTGTCCCAAGTGATTGAAAACAGCAGATCTACCAAATAAGACAGCTACAAGTGCCTAAACAACAATTCCCATACAGTAGAGAGAAGTATCAGGCAGAATGAAAGCCTTGGAAGTGCACAAATACAGCCACGACCGCCACAAAAATTGGACGACCGCCACAAAAAAATTCTCATTGCTCTACCTCCTTGAAGGGTGAAAGTTACCAGTTATCCTATAGCGATGTCAGTTTATGCCTGTTGGAACCCCCCCCCCCCCCCCCCCCCCACAGCCCGCACGAAATACCTTTCAAATAATTCCAGGATGCAATTGCAGCTCCAGACAGGAGGAAGAAGAACACCGTGAAAAATAACGGCAACGATGCCCAAACTCTCGGGAAACGGCTGAAGTCTTCCTGAAGATGTTAACATTGAATAGCCATCGATTACCAGCGTGGTTTGGTGACTTTAGAACTGTTTTGGGACTTAGAACGAAGCGATATCTCAAATTTGATGGAATTGTTACCTGTCAAATGCGTGGGCGAGCAGGCCAGCTGACTGGTTATGCATGAGCATGCATTGATTTTTCATGGTTCACATGCAGAAAACTAAGTTGCCGCGATCCAAGTGCAGCTAACAGCCGTGCCCTATGCTTTTTTTTTGTCTAGGTCATCAAGGCAAAAAAGCATAGCGTAGGGCCCTGAGCTTCCAAGCTCTCTCGTTTTACACTCATGCCTCCATTATCTGGACCCCGAAGTTATGGCCACTTCGGTCTACCGGGCACCCTTTGGGAGAGTTCGAGTGGAAATATTACTACTCTTTGTCACTTTTTTGTGGAACTAGTGACGGCATATGTCAAATTTGTTGCCTTTCCCCATCAAAATGTATGTGTTTCTGAGTTACGAACATTTCAAAGTTACGGGCAGTGCCCGGTCCCGGACTACCCGGATAAGCGAGGTATGAGTGTAGTTGTTTCTCACCTGCATCTACCGTAAAGTCTTGTATAAAAGCCGCAGCTTCTATGACTTTCTTGGTGAAATTTTGACGGCTTCTATATGAGACAGGCTTCTATACAAGACAGGTATTTCTATGTATGTCAACACTAACACCAGGCTTATGTGTGATTTGATGGGCCCAAAATTACGGCTTCTATTCGAGGGCGGCTTCTATTCAAGTGCGGCTTTTATACAAGACTTTACGGTAATTGGTAGATTCACATACTTACAATTCCTTGTGTTTCACTTCTCCAACTGCTGTTGCTGCTGTGTATGTTTTGGCTATGTCTTCATTCATCCACTAGTATGACATTGACAACGTACCAGCGGATTGGCTTAACGTGGATGGTGCAGCTATACAAAGAGGAGGTCAATGGTATTTTGGCTGATGAAATGGTTAGTGCGCCCATGCAAAGCTACAGACACACACACACACACACATGCACACCTTTGCCGTTGACCCCCCATCTCCAGTGGAGATGATAGGCTACTGAGTTGGGCAGTACTTGAGGTGACGCTTCAAATCGCCACTTCTTCTAAACGCTCTGCCGCATGCGCAGTGAAAGTCCTTCGGTGCCGGGAGAGGAAGACGATGTTGATGGACCCGCCTGCGCCATTCCGGGCTATCTTGTGCGAGCCGGTACCACTCGGACTCCGGAATATCCAGTAAGCGCGGATCACCGACAATCGTGTCTCGCCAACGCTTCTTTGGCCCATGCCGTGCACACACATACACAAACACACACACACACACACACACTTGTATTCTGCTAGACTACAGTTCTGATGCTGCTCGTCCATCCACTAATACGTGCTCTTGTCTTGTGTGCTTGTGTTCCGCAGGGCCTTGGTAAGACTGTGCAAGCTATAGCGTACCTTGCACAGCTCATGTGCAACAAAGTGGCTGGCCCATACTTAATAGCCGTGCCTAGCTCCACCATTGGTAAGCCATTTCTATGCTTTTGCTGTTTCTTGTAGCGTCCATTAGTTATGGGCCTAATCCTGTCAGTCCTTCCAGTATGGAATGGACTGCTAACAGGCACTAATTTTAGGGTTCACGGATTGGCATGCTAGCGTCGCCAGCTACATCATGCACGTGACAGGGGCGTGCATAATACTGTCCCACACAATCGGTCAGTGCTCAAATCGCATTTTCCCATCAATATCACTCACTTTCAACTCTACGGGATTCATTACGGTTGGCTCAAACTGCCTGAATTTTTGAATCCACACGCACGAAAGACGTTCCAAGACTTCCACCGTTCGTATTTTTTCAAACGAGTTCCGGGTTTTCCAGTAACTTTGGCCAAAGTTCGGCTAAAAAAACAGGGGGAGCCGTTGCGTTTCCGTAAAATACTGAACGGTAGAAGGATAGCCAAGGTCGAGAGCAAAACAACAAGCCATTATTTGTCAAAATCGAACAAGAAACGGCTCAGCGCATCTATTTTCCGTGCACGCGCGCGCGTACTTTGGCCGACAAGGTGTGGAGAATTTCTGAAGAAGAAGAAAAACAAGAGCAGCAGCGCTCGGAACAGCCGTGCTGGATACTTCCAATCCCGACGATGGAGCGTGTTGGCTGTCGTGAGCTGCTGAAACGACCATGACATTTCTTTTTCTTTGTATACCCTACATATCTTGACGTGCCCTAGCTCAGTTTCGGCCTCTTTACAGGAAGAATATTTTCTTCCATGGCATCAGCGGCCAAACAGCAAGAAGAGCAACAGATCGAGATTTGCAGGGCAAACAAAGGATGCGTGCAGCTACATCTAGTCAGGTTCGATGCAGCTGCGCTTTGCCAGAACCTCAGCAGATAAGAAAAGACGACAGAGTGTCTCAGATGGAACTGGATCTTTCGCCAAGACCGCCACCGCTGCCATCATCAAGTCCAGGTCAGTCAGAAAAATGCAAAGCCCGAGTGAAGTGAAGCCACTGAAGCCAAGGAAAAATTCGAAAAGTACGCTCTCCGGCTAGACTTCGAGTCGATATTTTTTTACTTCGATAGGCGCTGTCGCGGCCTGTACAGGCTGTAGCGCGCGTCCATAATCCAAAATGGAGGCGCACGTGACGGGTGCTTTTAGTGGCAAGCCGTGAACCCTAAATTTCGTACATAAAGAAGATTGAGTTCGGTGGATTTTCGTAGTTGCAACACGAGTTCAGTGGCCTCTTTCAGTAAGGGGTCATCGCTGAGGTTGTTTCTCATTTCTGAAACGAACATGCATGTGCAGCACCATGGATTCATGTACAACATGTACAGTATCGGTCGACTTGCAATCCCCCCCCCCCCCCCACCCAATGAACCATGTTCATTTCAGCGACGACCAAACCTTTCCAGCAACCCCAAAGGCAAAGCTAAGTAAACACCGGTTTCATTTGTCTTTGTGTGTATGTGCATGCGTCTGCGCTCGTGTGTGTTCTATGCTTGATGCTGATAGAGAACTGGGAGCGAGAGATTGCACTCTGGTGTCCGGACATGAACGACAAGTTGCTGAGTTACAGAGGTGAGTATGGTAGCTGGAACTATGCCAAGTGTACTGCGGTGCTACAGTGTTGGCCGAAGAAATCCAACCTCATGAATAAAATAACACCGGGCACTGCGCAGCCCTAGCACTACACACGGTGGTCTGTGCACTCGAACTCGGCGCTACTTTATTCATGAGGTTGGATTGGATTTCTCTGGCCAGCACTGTAGTATTGTTCTGAACATTGCAGAATGGAAGTCTAGTTTCTAGTTGTTGATAACTCTTGATTGCATGTTCTGCCCACAGGTTCACAGCCCGAGCGCTTGGGACTTCAAGAAGAGCTTCGTGCCAACCCTGGCTACTACCAAGTGGTCCTGACAAGGTCTGCAAGTCAGTCTGTGCTTGTTGTTTCTGTTCGTGAAATGTGCGTGACTTGTTTTCCGTCATTTTGCATCTATATGTGCTTGCCTCGTTTTTGCCTTCTTCGTGGCGTGTGACTGAGTGACGCAAGGTTAACACTCTGTGCGCTGCAGTTTGAGGTCCATGTACATGAACGCCTTGTTACTGTCTAAGTCACATAACTGAATGTATTGTTGGAGGCACTCGCATTTTGACTCACCCTACCCACGTGCAATCCCAACATAGGGGCACTTCCCCTTTACACACGTTGATCCATGTGTCTCCTTTGCCCGTGGGCTGGAAGTGCAGGTCTCCGCTGTCCAGATAGAATACTGTTCTTTCAATTTACTTCTTTCTGTGCTCAGCTATACAACTTGCACTGGCAATTACGACCGCAAGTTTCTGCGTCATTGTAACTTCACGGTGTGCGTTCTGGACGAGGGGCACATGCTCAAGAATATGGTCTCCCAGCGCTATGCGTACATGTCCCGTATCTGTGTAAGTTGCCCTGCCTGAGAAGGCCAGGGTGCTCATGGCACAAATGTGTAATTTGTGCTCCGTGTGTGTGCAAGCGTTTCTGCACTTTGAATTTAGCTGTGTGGGATGCCATGTGCAGACTGGTGACTTGTGATCTTTGACTTTGGCACGGAGTGGTGGTAGACCGCAGTGCAGTGAGAAAACCTATCGGCACAGCACTGTGCATGTGCCGTAGCGACGCGCATTTAACCCTTTATTGGCCGGCCCATACATTGATCGAACACCGATGTTCGATGGGGTAGGTATTTTGAAATTATCGTAACTTGGTCAAATCTCGGTCTTTCGGAGAGATCAAAATATGTAGGTCGAAGAGAAAACTCTCAGCTGTCGCCTCGAACAATTTTCGAAGCGATACAAAGAGCGGTTCTTGAGTTATAGCACTCGAAATGTTGGTCCCGGGAAATTTGCGCTCAGAGTGCGATGCCTGGGTCAACGACCGGGATTTTCCCTGCTTACGTCACCTGTTGACAAGGCTACACCGATTCAACTTCAAAAGCTGGTTCCCGGGAGTCTCTACGAAAAACTTTGAGTTTGATACGAGCAACAGGAGTGAAATGGTGGATAGAGATAGATCTTGAGCGTGAGCCCAGCGCTGGTGGGCCTTCGCTGGCTTGCAGAGCTGGGCCAGTGCATCCCGTGGAGTCGAGTGTACGCTCATTGCGCTCCTCTCACCAAGGCCTTTCCAGGATGCCCAAGATCGTGGAATTTGTCCAGTGCAAACTAAAGTTACGTCCAATTTAGGTACAGGTTTGGCGATTGCGTGGGCTTGTTTGTATTTTAATCGGCCAATAAAGGGTTAAGTGCATGTGCCTATATCCGGGCATCAGCGCACCCTCACAGATAAGCGCATGGGTCTTTATGTGCGTCACTATGGTACCTTTACTCTCTGTCAGCGATTCCGATCACTGTCACTCTGACCGTGTCACTGTGTTCACTGTGTTCTCTGTGTTCTTTCCCGTGTGTGCGGCGGCGCGTAGCCAACAAGACGTCTCTTGCTGACCGGCACCCCGCTACAGAACAACCTCACGGAGCTGCTCTCTCTTCTCCACTTCACAATGCCCGACATCTTCAGTCCGACTCAGGAGTGCATTCGCAGGCTATTCTCGACGGCATCCGGAAAGGTACAGTCACTGCTGAAGTGTGTTTCTTAGCTGCCGGACTAATGGATACTAATAGTACAGCCGTGAAAAATTAGGCCAACTCTATGCATGGCATATTATCTTCTGATCTTATCCCATGGTCCCTGTAGTGAGTAGTTCTCATACATGCTTGGTGTGCATGGTGTATACATGCTTGATGTGTATGGTGTAACCTGCAAAGAACCATGCAGTGTTTTACCGTGTGTACGCCACACGCCAGCCCGTGTTTGTTTGTAGCATGAGGGTCACATCAAACTGGGAGATGGCAATGTTGTCAATATATATAATTTTTACGTTGGATTTCAATCATTTGTCATGCACCACTGTTACGTGTAGACTGCTCAAGAGGGGGGTCACATCAAACTGAGAGATGGCAATGTTGTCAATATAATTTTTACATTTGATTTCAATCCTTTGCCATGCACCACTGTAGACTGCTCAAGACGAGGGTGATGGCAGCGTGGATAGTGACGATGTGGACAAGATTGCGCGCACTGCTCACCACATCATGCAGCCGTTTGTCTTGCGCCGGCTGAAGGCTGATGTAAGGCTTGTGTGTGTGTGGGGGGGGGGGGGATCAGGGAGTGGTGTGTTTATTAACACTTCTACAGGTTATGTGGTATGAAATGAGACTAAATAATGTTGTGTACGAGTTGGTGGTAGTGACGTCGGCGGTAATACACAGAAAGTTGGTTGCTCGCAGCATCTGGGCTGGCTATTTTCATGCCGACTTGACATTGACTGACTCACAACTGCCATGCAGAGCACACAAGAAGCCGATTGTGGCGGCAAGAAACGGGAGCATCCGTCGAAAAATATTCTCGGAGACAAAAAAAAGTGTGATAACACTGCAGAACAAACTTCACGCTCTTTACAAACAGCGTTTTTGAAAGTTATCTGGCAGTGTGCCTAGTCGACTGTTCTATGGGTGTCTCGTGTGCAGGCGCGAGTCAGTCAGGTCAAGTCAGCGTGGAAAGCGCAAGCTCGAACGTTGCGAACAACCGTCTTAAAATGATGAGTCTTGATTCCTAGTACACTGTAGTTCCTCATTTGCCAACTTGCATGGTATAACTTCAGCAAAATCATAGCTTCCTGTATCGCTTTTGGCTGTTCATCATCATAGGCAACACTCAACCATTTCCACTGGTCTTCCTGTTTAGATCTTTGCTAGGCTTTGGAACTGGGAGTAGTAAAGTACCGGCAGTTTACTACTCCCTACTCTGGACACATGCTCAGCTGCTTGCGTCAGTTTGTACACCTGGTGTCTATCTACAATCTATGTCTTACTACTGAGTTCCTAGTACAGTCGTCCCTCTCTAATCCGGCACTTGTTTATCCGGAACCCTTGCCAACCGGCGCACTTTCTGACGAAACCGATTTTTTTCGTTCAATTCCTACATCTTAATCCGGCACTTGAATTCCGCCTCCGGCAGTGACTTTTTGAAACGAATCGCTCAAACTGCACGTAGTTTGATTTCATAATCCGGCAGTCGTAAATCGCGTACCGTACAGGTGCACTCCTTGCCAGGCCAGGCTGCAGGCTAGGCAAGTCTGGTCAATGTTGTCCAGGAGACAACGGCAGTCAACCATACTTTCTTATTTTAGCAAGGAGTAGTGTCCTGCCAATTTTCAGTTGTGATTGTGTGCGTGTGTGTGCAAGAGTACATATGAACATGTTATCTGTTTTACTTTATCACTGTGTATATTCCCGGAGAACAATTGAGAATATAAAGCCGTGCACCAAATACTTGGGTCGACACGGAAAAACCCTGCGTTTTGACGTACATATGATACATGCATGCAATTGGGTAGGGCCGGGTCAGAGGGCAGGATTTCTTAATCCAGCACCCTCGTTAATCCAGCAGAAAACGCTGTAGCAAAAGGTGCCGGATTAGAGAGGGACGACTGTACTACTAGGTTTAGCATGTTGCTTTTCAGGTAGTGTTGGTGACCCCTTTTTTGTTTACACGGATGGTTGGACGTGGACGAGTTGTCGGGAGGAGGCACGTGCCTAAAATCAGGAGTTCATTTAAAAAATTGTGTTCATGGAAATGATGGCAATGATTTGAAAGGCGTGTACGTTTTTGATTGCTGTTTGGCAACGCACTCCTGGCATAGTGTTGCTTGTGGTGAGGTGGTACGGTGGTCTCATCTAGCTCAGATATTAATGTGCTGAGGAGCCCCGTCTCTCTTGCTTGCCCCACTGCTCAGGTGTTGGACAATTTGCCGGCGAAGGAGCACAAAGTCGTGACCTGTGCCATGGTGGAGCGCCAGCGTGACATGTACACGAAGAAGCTTCAGCACATCCGCAGCACGTCTGCGCTGAGTACGTGCTGCACGCCGCCACTAGCAAGGCCAGCTGTGCTTTGGCTGTTATCTAACCTATACTTGTTTAAAAGTACTGGCAAGTCTGTGCACGCTTTCCAGCTATTTATTCCAGCCAACTGGTTTCCCGATGAGTTTCAATCACTGTTGAGCACATCGCACTCTGCACTATGGTGCATAGGACTGCAGTTTGAGTTGACGGGATTTTGTTGAGCTACTCTCCATAGAGACGGGTGCTTTTACTCAAAGCAAAACTTTGTAATTTCTCCTCTTACTTCGTGTAACATGCCCTCTCCTGAGGAATGTCCGTGTACATTGAGTCTGGCCATTGTGTGTCGATCTTATTCGGAGAATTAGCTGAATACAGTGGAGTTTCTTGATCTCCTGAAACAGTACCAGAACCTCTCCCCTCCAAATTATTGTTTTGTTTTGAAAATATCGTTCTTTACTGGTTTATCTGGTGCGCTTGCAATGTCCGGGTACCGTATGCCTGTGCTGTTGTTGACTTTATTCCCTCAGGTCTTAGCTCCCTTATGGAGCTGCGGAAGTTGGCCAACCATCCATTACTTTGCCGTGGCATCTACACCGATGCTGTTTTGCGCACTATGGCGGATAAAATCTACCGAGAGGTCAGTGATAGCAAGAGTAGATAAACAAGAGTGTGCAACTCCGAATCTCTCCTGCACAATCTGCAGATACCCCCGCCTACGGCGGAATTTTTTGTTGACGTCACCTTTTTTCAGAAAAACGCGCATTTTGCCGCAGAGCAGTGTGAGAGCACGTGCTGGGCACCGACCTTGTAATGTAAAGCCCAGCCAAGTGCATGAGGCAAAACTGTCCAAAAGACTCGCAGCGCTTGCGTCGTAGAAAAGATTACGTCAACTAAAACATTCCGCCGTGGGCGAACCCATCTGGGAGTTGCACACCCTTGTTTATCTACTCTTCGTGATAGTAATTGGCCTGTGTGTGAAATGTGATTATTTGTAGCTCGATCTTTATTCTGGATTAGGCACGGGTGTTTATAAGTTTCTTAACGCTTCTATACTTCTGTGTACGTGTGTGTGTCTGTGTGTGTGTGTTCGTCACTGTTTGATGGTGTATGTGTGTGTGTGATCCCTGCAGAACACCGCCCACTACAACGTGAACTTTGTAGAGGAGGACATGTCTGTCATGTCTGACTTTGAGCTGCACAAGCTGTGCCTGCAGCATCCGGTGCGTACTATTACTTTCAATGTTCTGTTTTTAGTGTTGTTCATGGCTTTGCCAGAATGCTGCTTTCTCCTGCCCGGATCTTCAAACAGGTTCTTTATCTTTTATTGAGAG